CTGTATAAAGTAAGTTATCACCATTATTTATCTAAGGTAACGTAACGACAAGTAAATAAGTAGGTAAGGACAAAATGGTAGCTAAAATCTAAAATTAACTAAACCATAGCTAAAAGATAAAATTAGCACACCAGTACTTTAACGTTAAATGCATAAAATCTTAGACTAAAGCTAATTATTACAAATTGTATCTAAAAGCTTAAATTAGCATCACATAGCTAAAAGCTAAAATTAGCAAACCAGTATTTTAAAGTTAAATGCATAAAAATAAGTAAATAAGTAAGGACAAGTAAGAACAAGCAAAGGCCTTGTATAATGTTTGACCTTTATTTGTAACCTTAAAGCTGGGTGATGAAAAGTGCGCACAACACTTTATGTATTGACGGTGCATATGTGTATCAAGTTGAACAGATCAGAAGTTATGGTCTGAACAAGCAAAGACCTTGTCTTAACTTTGATATTGATTTTTGACCTGGACCTTGAAGCTGGGGTGATGAAAGCATATGCAACACTGTCAAGAGATGATGCATATAAGCAGATCAGAAGTTATGGGCGAGACAAGAGAAAGCTTAACCTTACGTATGCATGTAAGGACAGCCAGACAGAGACAATATCAAAAGACGTACGGTTCCGAACCCGAGATACAGGCTGAACATGTGATGCACAGAGTTGTAGCAACTAGGGAGGGTTTTTTTTTCCATTCAACCTTTAGTTAGACAGGTTAATCCCATTGAGCCGCAGGGACTCATTTACAAGAGAGACCTGATTTCAATAAAGAATGATGACAACAGTGGACAACAATGACAACAATAGACAATCATGAGACATACAGATTTTTTTTTTTTTTTTTTTTTACAAATTAAAATAAGATGGCAAAAAAAAGTAGCAAAAAAAACCCAGCTAGATTATAAGGTGAATGTAGAAAACTAAAACAGGAACATGTCTGCATTGGTTTTTGCCAGGAACTTAGATATTTAAAGCTACTTAGAGAGGTCAAGGTCAAGAGCTTCAGATATTTTTGCAAGATATTCCAGGAAACAGGAGCAGAGTAGGAGAAGGCCCTTTTGCCTAGTTCAGCCCTCACTGAGGGAACACTGCAGGTAATAATGTCCTGAGAGCGCACGCTGTAGCTGCACTCATGCAGAGACATGTAGGAGGAGATGTATGAAGGCAGCAGACCAAGAAGTGTTTTAAAGATAAAAATGTACCAGTGGGAGAGTCTGCGTGAAGTTAATGATGTCCAGTTAACCATTGAATACAGGGTGCAGTGATGGGTACGATAATCACGGCCAGTTATGAATCTTAGTGCACCATGATAGACAGCATCCAACATCTGCAGGGTGCTTGTAGGAGAGTTCATGTAAATAATGTCACCATAATCAATGGAGGGAAGGAAAGTCACAGTTACAATGCGTTTCCTAGCATTCAGAGTTAGACAGGATCTGTTTCTGAAAAAGAAACCCAGTTTAACTTTCAGTTTCTTTACTAAGTTTTCCACGTGGAGCTTAAAAGAGAGATGCGAGTCGACCAAGATACCCGAATATTTATAGGAATCAACAAACTCAATGGGGACATCACTTGAGGATAAAATCAGAGGAAGAACTGCTGGGACCGACTTCCCGTTTGAAAAAAGCATCCCTTTGGTTTTGTCGGCATTTAGGACAAGTTTGAGGTAGAACAAATCTGTCTGGATGATGTCAAATGTGGATTGCAAAATCTGGAAAGCCTTAATAACTTTTTTAGCTCGACAATAAACAAATGTGTCATCAGCATAGAAATGTAAGGATGCATCAAGGATGCTCTGACCTACATTACCTATGTAGATTGTAAAGAGGGTGGGTCCTAAGACTGAGCCTTGTGGTACACCATTGTTGACTGTTAAATAACTGGAGGAAGTACAATTATGTTGAACACATTGCCTCCAATCTGAAAGATAGTTAGAGAACCAACCAATGGTGTGATCTGAGAAACCAATTTCTGAGGGCTTATGACACAAGATTTTATGATCCACAGTGTCAAAAGCTTTAGACAGGTCTAAGAAAAGTGCAGCATCCAGTGCTTGAACAACGTCATTAAGAACCTTCAGTGAAGCAGTCAATTCAATTCAATTCAATTCAATTCAAAAATACTTTATTAATCCCAAAGGGAAATTAAGTGCTGTCATAGCTCATCATTCTGGTTTCATTCAAGAGTTGTTATAGATGCTGATAGCTGTGGGCAGGAAGGATCTCCTGCAACAAATCCAAAGAATCTGGCCACAGATACCGATCTATCCAACTGGATCCAGCTTGCTGTCAGATCTGGCGGGCCTCTCGGTCCTCCTGGGCAGCAGAACTGTCCGAATTCTGAGCAGAATTCCTCTCTGAGCTATGGGCACTACTCCCAGCAGTCTGCTGAGCTCCTCATCGCCATGGGCTCATGTAGGTGCCGGGGGATGATCCCGGTCCTCCCATTGTCACGAGCTGAGTTCCCCGCCAGCTCCAGGATCTCAGCGGCCAGGTACTCAAGCACTGCTGCCAGGTTGACGGGAATACGTCCACGGCGCCTCCTTTTCAACTCATTTGAGATTTGGGGCTGTAGCTGAGATATTATTGAGCTTTTGAGATGTTAAATCAGCTGCTCCTGGTTGTAAAAAAAAACACCTTGTTGCCATGGTTACACATCATAACAAATGGCCAAAAAGTAAAAAGGCTTCAGTAAAAATCCTTCCAGCTGCACAGCATCCGATACCAGACTAAATAATCATCTGAAAAAAAGTGATTTACATACATCCAGAAAAAAGAGAAATTAAAGTTTTCAAAAGCAATAACTCAGAACAAGAGAGCTACTCCAACATGCAGCCACCCAGAGCGGCGCAATTCTAGAACTCTTTGTGCTGTGTTGTTTCCTGAAACCAGATTGATCGGGAGGTAATATGTTAAATGAGTACAGGAAATTTTTGATTTGAGAGTTTATCTGTTTTTCTAGAACCTTGGCTAAAATGCAGAGTTTAGAGATTGGTCGGTAGTTGTTCAGTGAGGTGGGGTCACCTCCATTCAGCAAAGGAAGAACAAAGGCTGTTTTCCAAGTATCTGGAATGGAGTTTTGGCTTATGGAAAAATTTAAGATGTGGGACACAGATACTGCAATGATATGAGTGGCCAGCCTTAAGAAATAATGTGGAAGTTCATCTTGTCCTGCAGATTTTTTTGAATCAAGACCTTTTAACGGTTTATTTACCTCACTAACTAAGAATGAAGAAAAAGAGAAGGTGTGATTGAGGATTGACTTGTCAAGTCAAGTCATATTTATTTATAGAGCACAATTTAAAACAGATAGACTGTTATCAAAGTGCTTTGATAACAGTACTTATACTTGTAGAGGGATTTGAATTGTAGAAGTTTGGTTATTAAGTGAAGTGGCTGATTTTCCATTAGTAACTGTGTCAAATAAAGAACTAGAAGCAACAAAATGTTTGTTGAGACAGTTCAGGATCTCGTGCTTATTTGACACAGGAACAGAGTTAATGAGAAGTTGTGATGGGAAGACCGATGATTGGGAGCTGCCTGAGAGAGATTTGATGGTTTTCCAGAATCTTTGAGGGTCATTTAGATTTTTGGAGGTCTGAGATAAGAAACAGTTATGTTTTGCGGCTTTGATGGCAGTTGTGCATTCATTCCTTAGCTATTGAAAATTCAACCAATCAGTGTCTGAGCCAGATTTTCTCGCTGCGGCCCAAAGATGATCCCTCCTGTGCAGGAGATCAGCTAGTTCAAGAGTAAACCAGGGGCTGTCGCGTCAGTTAAGTTAAGTTGATGAGTCACACAGTGAAGATCTGGGAGATAGTTGTGGAAGCTACACTTAGACGAGAAGTGACTGTGAGCAGCAGTATGGTTTCACGCCGAGCAAGAGCACCACAGATGCCATCTTTGCTTTGAGGAAACTGAAAACGATTAAATAAGAATTTACAGTTTTCACATAGAGTTAATTTTGTTTTCCTAGTTTTCCTGTATTATTATCAATTGTGCAATTTTTAATGTTCAAGTATTTTAAACTACAAGAAAATTCATGCATTGTAATTTAAAACATAGCAACCATCATAATGCACGAGTTGAAACTCTGTGATAAAACTCCTAAAGTTTGACACTGAAATGGCTCTTTGGCCATTATGCAACTTTGCTAAATTCATCCATCCATCCATCCATCCATTTTCTTTACCCGCTTATTCCATTTTGGGTCACGGGGGTCGCTGGTGCCCATGTCCAGCAA